AAAAAAAAAAAAAAAAAAAAAAAAAAACAGGGACCAGCTTTTGAGGAAGTGGAAAAAGAGCTGAAAATGTACGTAAAAGGGATTTAACGTTGGCGTTGGATTGCATGCATTGCATGAAGTTTGTCTTTTTTTCTCCCGACGACTTGGCCTTTCATTTGTCTCCATGCCCCCATGCTGTCAATGTACGGATATAAAAACATTTGAGTTGTACGTTCTCAAAGTCTAAAATGGACATAACAAAAGGGTAGCAACAACCATCAGTTGGTTTATTCGTCATAAATCGAGATCCTGAAAATGCATGTGGCCTTATAATATATATATATATATATAAAAATAATTGTAATCCGTTCATATTACGTTTCTATAAAGATGAGCCCCCAAACAGTGTCGTCAATTATTGAAGAAGACCCAGTCAAGTTGTAGCGGGAATCTCTCTTGCTTAATTTTATTTATTGCATCTCTTCTCTCGTCTACATTAACTATATGCCTCAGGCCATATTTAATTTAAATCTCTACACCGTACATATCTCTATACACTACACTAATAATAGCTATGTTTTCTTAAAGAAACCCAATGTGTGCTCTTTTATATATATGTATATATAAAAGGTCTTTCACCTGCTAGTATATATCACTTTGTCTCCTACCTCTTTCTTTAAAATAGTATCATTAAACTAAAAGACAATCACATTCAACCGTTGAAAAGGGATGCAAAGCGTATACCTTGTCTCGAATTTGAATTTCAAGATTAGAGAGGGAGGTATATTATATTCCAAATCAGCTTACGGACTCACGATTCCTGAATTAATTTGAACATTGATATAGAATAACCGGTTACCCAAAAAGAACTATATCACATAATCGATGCCCGAATCTTATATGTACTCTATTTTATTTTATCTCGACAAATCGTGTGCACAAGAGGTGGAGATTACATAGTCAAGTACTCGTGAAATACGTTTGGTCTGTGCCTTCATCGTACGTAGTAAATAAGTATAAATAATTATGTAACAATCATACCGAACAACCTCATCTTTTTTTTTTTATAATTCGTAAATTTATCGTTCGTTTCGTCCAACTATATCTCCAAGAATATTGAAAAAATATAGATGAGTATTTCTCTCCATGCTAACCTCATCTCTTGTTTCATTGGTTAGTTCAACCGATCAACTTTTATAATATTATCATGAAAAAAGTATTGTTATCAAACACCAAATTCGGATTTTGGAACATAAGTTATAAACTTATAACTGACCTCCAAAAAATACTGTCATCGATGACAATGCATACATAAAACATTACAACGTCCACTCACATATAAACACTGACAGAGACCAGCAAGTGTGTGATGGGCTTCTTTAATTTATTTTTATTTAAAATTGAGTTATACAGCCCATGCATCTCCACGAGGGTTAAATGGTTTGTGGGTTCTCGGCACGGATAGATAAATGGGCCTAAATTATGTAACAGAGGCCCAATACTTGGGTAATCCAAAATCATGTTTGTATATCCTGAGAACCTTCTGATTCAAAGTGAATGTTCCCTGCCTGGATAGGCGCTTTTGTCTTGTATTCACCGCTTTTATCTTTTTAAAGGCACGGATTTCTCGGGATCTCTACGACTAATTTTGTCGATTAACGAGGTTATGATCCCGGAAACGAGCGGGTAATCCTCTATTACCAACCCCTAATCTCTTCTTAATCTTAGCTTAGTTATTTTTTTATTGCTTTAAGTTACGGTGACTATATGCTGTTGAATTAAACAATAAGCAAAATCGAATGGCTAAAAAACATGATTAAAGTTTTTTTTATAATATCGAAATTTATCGGGTTTTTGATACGATTACATATCTCAGAAGATCGGGTGAATATCGCTTTTCAATTGACAACTCGATCCCCAGTTGAAAAAGAGTTTTGTTTTTTTTTCTTTATCGGTTAAACCAGGTTGTTGTTATTATTAATATTATTATTATTCACATCTCAGTATTACCAATAATCCTTCAACATTTTTTGTGGTGTAAAGTTGTTTTTTTCCTCATTTGCCACCAAAAAAAAAACTTTATGATTCTTTTTCTACAACACGTTAGCTATAATTTCGGTTTCCCATCCAAGTAGATTTATTTCCCATCATTTCATTGGACCCGATTGCAATTTGCAATACAAGTTTTGATTTTGCGGATTATAATTTCTCATTCAAAATCCATAATTAAAAAAAAAAAGATGTTATTCAGAGAATGACCAAAGAGTTCTAACATCGTCAAAAAAGAATCTCGCCGAGATTAATTACAACTAAATTCACAACATGGATTAGTCTTTATCTAAGACATAATTGATTTCCATAAAAATAAAATTGTCCCCCAGCAGACCATAGATTCTATCATAATACGACCATATATAAGTATACAATAAACCAAATCTGTCCGAAATTGTCAGCCCCGTCGCTTGTGCTTTTTGCTCTTGCTTTATTCTTCAGCGTATAGAAACTGCAGTCTTTATCCAGCGAGTGACCAGCTGCCAATGCCACCCGTTTCTTCTTTCTCAACCGAAAGTAATTAGAACTGGGGAAATTGGAAACCAGCATTTCGGAGAAATCTAGGGTTCGCTCATCGCCCGACCTTCCCCCAATAAATCTCAGGTTCTGTTCCTGCCTTTGCGATCAGTGTAGTTCACATATAAATTAAGCCCCGTGTCTGGTTAGTTGCCATCTCCCTCCGTGATTCGGTCGTGTAGTGACAACATCGCAGGGAAATTGGTAAGTTCTGCCGCCTCTACCATCTGGGTTTAGCAAAAAGGGAAACCCTGTTGCCATTTCTTGCGAATTTCTGGAACAGAGTTTGAAGAGAACCGCAGGGGAGAGAGAGAGAGAGAGAGAGAAGAAAAAATGAGAGATTTTCCTACTTGTTTCGGAGAAAACGGAGTTCAAGTGGCCGATTCGTCTTCATCGTCGTCGTGCACCTCCAAAGCAGCTCAGAATTTGGTCACTTGCGTATATCACTGTAACTCAGCCGACGGTAGCTTCATGATCTCCATCTCTTGGTTCAGAAATCTCATGGGCCAAGGCCTCAGCGTCGCCATCGACGACTCGAAAAATCAGTGCATCTGCAAAGTCGACATCAAGCCGTGGATTTTCGCCAGGCGTAAAGGGTCCAAGGGTCTCGAGGTGGGTTCCTCCGAAATCGGTGTTTTCTGGGATCTGTCGAGGGCTAGATTCGCTTGCGGGCCCGATCCGACAGAAGGTTTTTACTTGGCCGTGGTGCTTGACCACGAATTGCTGTTGCTTTTGGGGGACATGAAGAAAGAGGCGTACAAGAAGATCGGGATTTCAACGGCGGGGGGTTCCTGTAACGCCGTTTTCGTGGCGAAGAAAGAGCACGTTTTCGGGAAGAAACTCTACACCACAAGGGCTCAGTTCCACGGCGGAGGGAGAACCCACGACATTGCGATCGAGTGCGATGCGGTCCACGCGGGAGATCCGTGTCTATCGATCAGGATCGACGGGAAGCGTCTGGTGCAGATCCGACGGCTGAAATGGAAATTCAGGGGAAACGACACGGTATTCATCGACGGCCTTCCCGTGGATGTGTTTTGGGACGTTCACAGCTGGCTCTTTGGTAACGCAGCGGGCGATAACGCGGCAGTGTTCATGTTCCGTGCGGATGAAAGATCGAGCGGTGCGTTTGATCCGGCGGCGTTCGAGTCGCCGTGGTTGTCTTGTCCTCCCCGACCATTTAAAGAAGCCGGTTTCACTCTTATTCTGTATGCCCATAAGAGTGAATAGAGAGTATTTCAAGCAATTCCCAATTTCATTCTCTAATACCTTCTTACAACGACCAAAGTCAGAGTTTTTTTTAGTAACCATCTCACAAATTAATTTCAAATCCCAAATATGCATAATGCATGTACCCAGTTTTTACAGTAATTCTCATAAACTATGTATGACAGCCATAAAGAAGTTGGGATTGGATTTTGTCTGAAGATTATGACATTTGCGGCGGGTATTGTATTGTGCATAGCAAAATACAAATTAATAAACCGGTAAGCATGTTATATTTCGGGATTCGATTAGAAATTTTAGCGGTTGGATCTGAGAATAGTTTATTATGTGTTATAAAATTTGTACCAAATTAGTACGGTATATTATTCGGTTCGATTTGATTTCGGTTTCTATATGGTTGGATTTCGGTTTTTGGTAAAAAAAATAAATAGATTTTTTAAAGGAAAAAAAATCATTTTTTCGAAAATTTTATAAAGTCGGTTCTCACTTCTCACCAATAAAATCTACACAAAAGCTTGGAAAGCCATGGGCTTCTACAAAAGGAAAGTATCGGAAGAAGATATAGTTTAACATTGTATTATATATCAAAATGGGCCTGTAAAGCGTCCAGTGGGCTTGCAGACCGAACAGGCTAGGTCAAAAAGTGAAGCCCAACAGTTTACCAAAAGAGGGAGGAGGGGGATTCCCTTCCAAGTTCCAATCAATGGTATTGGTCCTACAAAAGATCACAGAGCGGGGATCCTGTGGGGCACACAAAGAGAGGACACTTGTCACAGTATTAGTGGGCCACGTTTTATATAAATATCTTCCCTGTGGCTGTGGCTGTGGTAGATATAGAGAAGAGCGATGATGAGATCAGGGAAACTACAGAGATGGTAGTGGTACTTTCACTTACATGTTAAATAGTTAGTAGGCACATCGCTGTCCGTAGTACTACTGTGTTTTTTGCGCCCCTCTACCTGTCTCAGAAGGTTAAAAGGGCCCCACCCTCCCTCGCACTGTTTACCGTACATTGTTTTGTCCATACACACCTCCCGCGGGTGGTGAATGTATTTAATCTCGGTAAAAAAAAAACGAATACATTATTATATCAAAATCTTTGATTATCTTATACTGTTCATAATCTAATCTTCTAATTGTATACGACACAAATAATGTCCAAGTTGACGCACAAAAAGAAGAAGAAAAAATAATAATTTTCATTCACAAAAAAAATTATATTTTCGAAACAGAAGCAAATTAAGGAAATCAAATGTGATTAGGCTTTGAATGGTGAAGTTTTTAAAGTTTTTAGAAGCAAAAACCAAAAAAATACCATTCAAATTTTTATAAAATTATTTAAAAAAAATAGAAAACTATTTTAGTGAAAAAATCAAGGAAAACCCAAAAGTTTTTTTTTGAGTTTTTAAATATTATAGAATTCAAAAACCAAAAATCCAAAACTAAAAACTAAAATTAAAAAACTTAAAACCAAAAACCAAAATAAAAGCTATTCCGTTCAAAGCCTAGGTTTCTGCTTCAAGGAACCCGTCGGTAGCCCAAGTGTTTTTTGTAAACAAGTGTCACTTCTTCCCTCCCTCAACTTCATCGTTAACTCATTCCATCTTAAATGTATATATTTATATTTAACTTTTATTTTGAAAATATTTTTTTTTTTAAAAAAAATAGATAAACTAAAAAAGGGTAACAATATCAAAGGGGAGATAAATAATATGCCATAGCTACTTCTAGGAGGACAACACGAAACGATGAAGAAAGATTTAACCGCTCGAGAGTCATGTCGTGTATTATAACCACTTTTGACTTTACTCCTTTCTCATCTTTGTCTGTCTTTTTACTCGATTGATTCGTTATATCATACGTACCTACAAAATATTTTTTATTTATTTTATTTTTCTACATTTTTCATGTAATAGATCGGTATATTTCGACTATCATTTACCACGAGTATAATTTGGGATTAAGCCTAGTTTATTTCTTATTTTTTCTTCATTTTAAATATACCAATTGTGGATATGCTTACAGCTAGTGAAAATAACTGCAAAGTAAAAAACAAGGTTGAATTAGAAACAACTGAATTGTTGTTGGGGGGTCAAAGAGATCATCACATCGTCATTTGTTCTCAAGGGTCCGAACGAATCTTTGATCTGATTTAGTAGGGTGATTTTCTATGGTTTAAGACAGAAAAATTCACCTAGTCATATATATTTTTTACTTATTACATTCACCAGGGGTTTAGTAGATTAAACTATAAACTGTAAAAACTCAGTTTCGTAGTAAGTGGGTGCTCTTGAATTATATCGAATTTTTTTTCCCCATTTGGTTGATGATCTTTTTTATGACACAACAACGAATTCGACTCTGATGTTAAAGAAGAAATTAACGAACCACAAACACCCAAACTAAAGCGAAGAATTCACGTAAAACCCTATAAATTCCACGTGGAGATTCGGAAAATACATTTCCCAATTCAATATGCAATGGCATTGACAAGTTGGGAGGGCTCTCGAGTTTAAAAATATTGGTTAAAAGGAGAAAAAGATCAGGCAGACAACAGACAGGCTTTTTTTTTTGTCGGATACGAATAATCATAGAGCGCAATCTAAGATCACGTAACAGCGAAAGAGATGCAGTTGCAGTTGCATGTGTTTTATTTTTATTTCAGGGTAAAGAGCAGTTGCATGTGTTCCAAGTGTATTTTGTGTGTGTGAAAGCTTAGCATCGGATTCCGCCAGATCCTAAAATCCCAACATTATATTATTTCCCGCTTAGGATTCTCCCCGTTGCATATATATCATGGATCTTCTTAAGATCCCAAAGGACATGTTTTTTTTTTTTTTTGCATAAACAAAAAAATAATTATTGTTAAATGCATGACAGTTCCAATAATCTCTTCACGGATCTTATCATCGTTCGTCCGCTTCGGCTTCGCGAGATCGCGATGGCGTCAGTTAAGGTCAATATATATCATGTGAAGTTGTCTCGTATTCTATATTATTATCAAGGGTATCCAATGAACTTTAACCATGGAGGAATAATAATATCACCACCCATATATATATATATATATATATATATATATATAATATCACGGTGAAGAAGTCGATTGATTATAAGAGCTTTCATATATGGATCCGTTTCGTTGTGTGTAATTTCAGATAGCAGCATGAACAACAAATGACCTTTTCAACATCTGAAAATGGTTAAAACGACGACTTCTTATGCGGCTAGTATTAATGGGGAACTAATGAAAACGTCGTTTGCCCCGAACCTTGACAAAGCAGAGAGATTGGAATCCATTGCATAATTAACCTAATTGCCAGAAAGGGGGAGGGGACTCAACGCAACAAATCTGTCATTTTCAGTGCTCTCGTGACACCACCCACTGTTTTCCATGTAATATTAGAATATATATATATATATATATATATGGAAATCTGCATGTCCCCCCTGTGATATTTACCCATTTATTTTCCCTTTTCCAAAAAAAAAAACGATTACACTACTGTATGCTTTCGACGATCCAAAAACTTGTGATTTGGACAAAATTGTTTAAACAGTTACTCCAATCTAATCAAACAATGCAGTGCAAGAATTTTATTTGTATATGCTTATTTTAATGGGACATGCAGATGCAGTAGGGGGTCATGCACCTCGGTATCTTACTGTTCTTTTCCCCTTGGATGCTTATTGTAATAGAAAAATCATTACATTTTTAGTTATTATTATTCAATAACGTTTATAGATGTCAAAAACAATATCTTATCTATTTAATATAAATATATAAAACGCCGAAGATTGTTCTAAAAGCCCATGACCATTCATTGTTATCTTTGTTAATGTCGTATATATATATATATATATATATATATATATATTTTTGGTGAAAAAATGATAAATATGTTTTGTGTGTGCATATATACAAAGTGTATAACAGTAGAGAATCAAATAATTATAAATGTAAAATCACCAAAGCACAGCTGTCAAAAACAATAAAAACAAATTAAAAAGGAGTCAGAGTGGGCAATTAAAAGAGAGGAGACCATGAAGTAAATACAGATGGCCAACTGGGGGGGTTTCCCCTCTCAGAGCAGAGTTTCGTCGTTATTGTATGTATGTATGTATGTATGTATGTATGTATGTATGTATGTATGTATGTATGTATGTATGTATGTATGTATGTATGTATGTATGTATGTATGTATGTATGTATGTATGTATGTATGTATGTATGTATGTATGTATGTATGCTGAATACGTCAAAACATCCACCAGATATTATGTTTGTCCCTAACATAATTTTCCTTAAGACAACAAAAATAATAATTCAACGAGATCCATACATGTTTGCTCCCTCGATTTCACCTTTTCATTTATACAAGTTGACAACTCTAATTAGATTTTTTTCTTTCTAAAAAAACTCAAAACAAAATGAAACCGTGAAGTACATAATAAAGCCACACGTGTGCATGAAATTATATATATATATATATATATATTGAAATTATTTATTTAGTTCTTGCTACATTAATAGCTGAACTACCGTGTTGTTTCAATAAAATTCATAATTTCCAATTAATACATATATTAACGTCGCGTTCTATATATATATATATATATAACTAAAATTTATAATAGGCCATGGATTATTTTTATCTGTTTAATCTATTGGAAAACTCGTTCTATAATGTTACGCATTTACAAAAACCTTAGACGAAGTTCACTAATTCTCATGGGAAGCAAAGGAGACGCGACCGATTCAGAAAACCATTCAACTTATAAAAAAAAAAAAGGAAGACGAAGAAATTAACTTCGTAAAGTTAAGTAGTTAAGTTAACTCATAATTATGACGACAAAACGTACGCAATAATATTAATTAACATATGAATTTCGTTTCTGCGGCAAAATGTGTGCGCGGCGCATATAAATATTTTGCCTTTAAAAAATATTATTCTGCTCGTATTTTGTTGCCCCCACCAGATTCATTGCTTCAACATCCATACTCTTTCCTTTTATTCTTTTTTCTCTTTTGTATTTAATTTTTTTTTTGTAATCGGGTGTCTCGAAGTCCAATTCCGAGGTCGAAGACAAATCATATGATTGAAATTACGTTCATCTCCCCAAATTAAGATTCGAATTAGACAGATGTGTACTTGTTTCACGGATTGAATTATCGGAAAAAGCTTTTTTTCCTTAAAAACAAACCGTTCAATATGTTTACGATTGGTAATTATTTACAGTTCCCGAGGCATCTCCTGCACATGATAATTAAGTCAATGACTTAATTGTATCCAAAGAAATGGGTTTATGATTGCTCACCCATACAATTGAATTTTAATGCCAACTTTATCGCCCGGCTTATATCTAAACTACAGTTAGGTAGTAATGGAGAAAAAAAACATACGATTTAACTAACGAAATTGAAATAATTAAGGGGTCATCATCGCATAAAATTAAGAGTGTACAGAACCTCCCACCTACTAACTCCTTTATATATACATATATATATATATAATAAAATCAAATAAATGGGTTTGGCTTTTCGTGATGCCCTCTTGGTAGGATGCATGGGTTTTGAAAGGGAGGGGGATTAATTTTGGCAGAAACCGACAAGTTCGATTAAGTTAGTAGTAATTAGAATGAGATTTAAAGCTAAACTATAGTATTTTATCAATGATTATGATGATCCCGTTGCTGTGCCTTCAATCTAATGAGATCACGGCGGCTCCACCACCAACGCTCGATTAACAAAATTAATTAATTAGGTAAGGAAAAAGTATATGTTCAATAATTTTGAATGGGGAAACCGTGATTTAATTAGAATCTTGCTTTACAAAAGAAGAGACATTCTCTATTCCTAATAGTAACGTTGGGGCCGGGTTTATATTCAATTTGTAAACGGTCTGTTACTTATATCAATGTGGTGTTCTGTTCGTTACCTTTTTTTTAATATATATTTTCAGAAAAAAAAAACAGTTCGTTTCCTTTTTTCCGTTATCATTTTCATTGGAACAGTAAGGGTAACAAATCTGCATCCGGTTGTAAAAAAAAAAAAAATCGATCGAGTTTGAATAGATTATGTAAATATAATGAATTAACGAACCTAGGATTAACGGATATATATATTTACTGCAGTGTTCATAACATGTGCGCAAATTACTTTTACACAATTGGTACGTACATGGTACACCCCATGTTTTGTCTTATCAAATAGGTTAGTTATTGCGCAAAAAAAAGTTAAAATAGTTCAATCATATGAATTACGTCCGGTATTTTTATACAATTCTTTGTGTTAGGATAACATTACGTTTGTTGAGCAATGATACGAATTTAAATATTAGAGAAAGCTATCATGCATTTGTATTTTTTTTTAAAAGTTGGGGTGTTATCTTTTTTTTTTTATCAACAAGTCGATAATTGACGGTAGACATTTATAAATATTTCATTCTAAATTTAATTTTTTATTAGAAACTTTTTTTATGGGAAAAAACTAAAATAAAAACGGGAAATAAAATATAACAGGCGTGACGATGAAAACAACGTAGATATAGATAATACAATACCTGAGCAAACACTGGTGTTGAGCCACGTACGCTTATCTTTCCCCATTACCCGACGAGTTTTCGATATAACCAAATGATTTAAGAACAAAATATCCATTAATCAATTACCGTGTTAAAACCGTGATTACAACAATAAATTATGTTTTTTTTCCACTGGAAACATATTTTGATACCATATGGACCCGACCCGACTCCTCTTAGCCGGATCCTGGAGCCGCGTACGTTAGCCGATCGTGAGCTGCTTATCTATGTATGTATGTGCGTATGTACGAATGTATATGTATATATATATTTAATCTTGTTGGAGTGTGAGATGCGGTAAGATTTTGTAAGAAATGTTTATTTAAATTTCTATATGATTAGTGAAATAATAAATGGAATATATTGGAAGAAACTTGAGCGAGAGATTTATTGAACATTTTAGTTATGTGGACATCCGTATATATCGCAAAACATAAGGGCTAGCAACTTTATATCATTTTTTTTTGGCTAAAATAGCAACTTTATATCTTATTAATTAAGATTATATATATATATATATATGTAAGTGATGTGATGTGTAATATGCAAATGTAATCCCCATAAATCCATCCGTCCTTTTACCGTGAAAGCAAGCATATGTATTGTGCGGAGGAAGTACAAGGAGCCTACGGGGTCCTCCTCTTCTACCCACCACACCTACCTACAAATGCCGGCATTTGCCCCTACGTACTACAAAATTGACTGGACCGTAGAAAAAACACGAATCATTCGATAATTAAGTGAAGGTTTATTGCAAGTTAAAGAGTGACGTGGAACGGGGTGGGGGTGGGACGCCCCAAGTCGATGTTGACATCGCCCCCCCCCCCACTCTCTCTCCACAAGTTGTGCCCCCCATTCCCCCCTCTCTCTCTCTATATATACGTATATACAAATTCGTTTATTACCTGAAAATGACAATTTGTAGTTTTGGAAGAGTCTGTACAAATTCCTAGTTATTCTCTCTGCTTTTTGGAACAAAACTAAAACTCTTCACTAAAATGGTTATACGCATTTATTTTGTTTGTCAGGAAACCCTTTCCTGTTAACGCTTTCTTTCCATTACCTGGTAATCTGTTTTCCATGTATTTATCGCCCTTTGTTCCAATTTCTAATGGATATAATTATGCATAATTAATTATATTTACATCCTTGCCTACACAATAAATATTAGTTAACTCCGCAGGAACACGTAGACAAATTGAAGCAGGCTTATTATTATTATTACTTCTTAAAAGCTAATTAACTGCAAGGTAGAGGAAAGGGGTTAATACATAACCCTGGGTTGGTTACACCTTACATCGGGGTTAAGGATTTAAAAAAAAAAAACAAAAAGGGAAAAAGAAGTGGGGGAATTAAACTAAGGGGAAAAAAAAGGGACAGCTAGTTAACGGCCGTCAGCGAGAGGGTTAACGGCGGATTCCTTGCAGGGGCTGGGAGGGAGACTGGACTTTCCGGAAGCAACGAGGCGCTGCGCGAAGCTCTGGATTCTGTGTCCGTTAGTCTCCGTTAGCAATTGTTTCACTCCAAACGGCGACGTTTCGACTCCTCTCTCCTCGAGCACCTCTTCGTCTCCGTCGCTCATAAAACCGTTGGCCTGCATGTATCATCGAGTTTCTCGTCATCACACCTATTTTTACGGTCGGTATTTGCCTAGAGACTCGCGATCTCTCGTGCCAATTTCGTTTTTCATTCTCTCGACAACCCACAGGAAACCTCGGAATCGGGAATAGTGACAGAAAAGTTGCATTACCTGGATCCTAACGTAGTCCGTACGGTTCCAACAGAAAGCGTTCCCCATCATCTGATCGACGGTGTCGGAGACGCCGTCTAGCACTATGTCGACGACGCAGGATGTGGAGCACTCGCCATTATGACGGAGTTTCCGACCAGGCGGCGACACCGTCGACGAACCGTTCCCCAGCGACAAAACCAGCAAATCCTCAACGCCATTAGCAGAGGGGAAGTCGAGCTTGTTGTGAAGCACGTGAGTGACGGCGGCGGCGGTTGGGTTGTTCATGACCAAGCCTCCGTCGACGGCGGAGCAAGATGTCTTGCCGTCCACCGACGACACGGAAAACGGCTTGAAAAGGCTGGGGGTCGCTGACGTGGCGCGGCACACTTTCCAGAGCTCGAAGTCGAAGCTCGGCGACTCCGACGCGCCGGCGCGTGAGAAGACGAAGGGAGCAGATGTTTGGAGGTCGAAGCAAGGAACGAGGAGAGGCTTACACGTGTCCTTCAAGGTCAACACCTTCCCGTCCTCTCTCTGGAACGCTTCCTTCAACACCTTATCCATGCTGTTACCGGAGTATCGCCGGTTCCGGTGGAGAAATCCGGTGTACCGGACCTTGAAGAGCTCCGAGTTCTTCTCGGTGACAAACTTGAGCGCGTCTCTAGCGGTGAAGAGAGGCCTGCCGGAGCCATTATCGGCGACAAGCATGGCGGCCAGGATGCCGCCGATTCCAGTTCCGGCAACAATGTCGAAGAAATCGGCGATCTGAGCGTGGGGATCACCGGTCTGAAGGCGGATCTGGTCCTCAAGGTGGACAAGAGCAGCTCCAGCGACAATGCCGGTGGTTCCACCACCGTCGATGCTAAGGATTCTGGTCCTCCTGGTGTTCTCGCAGTGAGACAGCCATTTCTGCTCAAGTTTGGTGAAGATCTCGAGAGTAACCTTGCTGAGGTCCATCTCCATGACCCCCAACAGTACGAGCAAACAAGCAGCTATAGAACAGCGGTTTTTGATTTCGAAACCACAGAATCCGTGAAACAAACAGAGAAAACTCGGTTAACCCACTCTTTCTCTCTCTATCACGCTTTGTCGCAGGGAGGTATTAATGGCGGAATCCCTCTCTCTCTCTCTCTGCGGAGAGAGAACAACAAATGAGAGAGAAGGGCAGTGTGGATTTGGAGAAGAATAGAGAGGTTTGTGATACAGAGAGAGAGAGGGGGTGCTAGAGGTGAATGGTTATATATACTCGGAGTTCTGCGTCAGTTGTTCATTGTCGGCACTATTTCTTTTTCTTTTGCCTCATTCCTTTAATAATAATAATAATAAATATCCAAACAAATAATAACTGTATATCTTAAAAAAAAACTAAAAAGACAAAAGATGAGTTTTGTATATCTAATTGTTAGTAACTTAGAGTTATAGCTTGTTCTCCGTCGTAGTTGGTAATTTTAAATTTTCTGAATTATTTTCTTTAAATGTTTTGATTTAATACAAGATATATAACCGCAGTTTCTTTTTTAATTTTCTATAATGGATATATAATTAAATTATTAAAAAAATGTATATAACGAGGTTAGTACTTAGTAGTATGCACCTCTTTGACTCCCCCCTGTATTTTTTTTTTGAAAAAAAATATCTGGATGTGTAGTCGCACGTGCGAGTGGAGGTGTCGGTTTCGGCATTCGAGTCACGAAGCAGCGCGAACCTCGGCTCGGCTCCCGCTTCCCATCCCATCGCCCTCTCCCCTCCCTCACCCACTTTTTTTATTTATTTATATTATTATATGGTTTTCTCTTCCTACAAATAAATACATGTAATATTTTACAAAATGGGCCCTTGTGTAGGACAATTAATATAATTTAAGCCGGGGGGGCATTTCTTATTATATCGAGGAAGAAACGACAAGTGAAGTCCTCTCATCTTCTTCCATATCCTTTTATTATAAATATGTTTTTTTTATAATTAGATGATTCACCTATTTAATTTATTTAGATCCGAAATCAACCTTTAATCACTTAATTAATTACGTATTTTTCTTCCTACTGGTGGAATCGAACCCGAAACTTTGATATAAATATGTTTTTTTCCACCTGGATGTATTTGGATAAGAAAAAAGGAATCGTTTTCCAAATAATAACGTACATAATTGATTTGTGAATTCCTCTGTCCATATAGCAGGCAAATCCCTCTCACTCAATTGAATGCCCAAAAGTCTCCGGATCAAATCTTGAAGAGGGATCATGTGGGCTTCTCTTCTTCTTATAAATCCACAAAGCCATTTCTCACAGGCCTCATTTAGGCCCATTCAGTTATTTAGTTATGCTCCTTGTATAATAGGCCCATTTTAATTATGGCCCTTGTTCAGGCCCACAAAAGAAACCAGGCTCGGATCTCAATCTGCAGAAAGCGGACCTATCTTTCAATAAGCTACAACTCGTCTCGAAGTGGAAAATGGGACCGACAACAACTGTACGTGCCTTGTTCATAGTTTCGAAAACACGTCCTAGTAAGTCCACTCCTTTGGGAGAAATACTTGTCTTGGACATGACGTCACGGCGCATTGGCTCTCCGTCGACGTCTGGACCTTCCTCTTCTCCTCCCACACTCTATTGTCTGCATTTCCCCTCCTCCAACTGCTTTTCATGTCTGCCCCTAAACCCACATTAGTATATCCATTTTTTTTTTATGTTTTTAAATAGTTACAAACGGTTAATTAACGGGAAGAATACCGGTTCTTTTGTTCTTCTGGGAAACTAGTCGCTGGGGAAGAAATACTCCGGTGCCTGCACGTGGCTTTTGCTTGGGCTGTTCCGACAAAAACGGCCGCCCTCCGTGCTCCGCGGGCTTCACGTCAGGACGATATTTGTACGGCGCGTGGACCGTCCTTGGATCACGATCATCCTCCTGCATATATTACACCATATTATATTAATAAAGAGAATATTTTTTAAAAAAGAAAAATGGAAAGGAATAGTTGTGATGAAACCAGCCTTGGGGTAGATGCAGCAGAGAAAAGCCTCCTTCAGGACATCGGAAGGCAAGAGATGCATTCCGTCTTCGAGGCAGAGAGTAACGTCTCCGTCGCAAGACATTCCCAGAGCAGATATATATATGTATTCGATCGAAAACTCCTCCAACGTAATAATCGTCTCCTCGTTAGCTCCAAGTCTACAGGATTAGCAAAGTACATATGCATATATATATATATGTTAAATGAGGGGCAAATGAGTAAAATGGCACGTGCGGATTGGGTTCGGTGAACTCCTCCTTCAGATATGGTTGATCAAGAACACACGGCCAATTATTTCATTTTAATCCAATAATATATGGTTTTGTGGGTTAGTTTTGCCTAAACAAAGTTCTTCTGTGTCTTTTGATGCAAATTCTTCTAAACCACCGCACCAACCGCAACCCCTTTGTATTTGGTCAACCCGTTTGTATTTTGTCCATGTCTTTAAAAAAAAAAAATAATTATAGATTATTACGATAACTGACATACTTATCCTTTCACCATGACAGACGTGTTCCTCTTAAAATCTAGTTGTGATGAAACCAGCCTTGGGGTAGATGCAGCAGAGAAAAGCCTCCTTCAGGACATCGGAAGGCAAGAGATGCATTCCGTCTTCGAGGCAGAGAGTAACGTCTCCGTCGCAAGACATTCCCAGAGCAGATATATATATGTATTCGATCGAAAACTCCTCCAACGTAATAATCGTCTCCTCGTTAGCTCCAAGTCTACAGGATTAGCAAAGTACATATGCATATATATATATATATGTTAAATGAGGGGCAAATGAGTAAAAGGGCACGTGCGGATTGGGTTCGGTGAACTCCTCCTTCAGATATGGTTGATCAAGAACACACGGCCAATTATTTCATTTTAATCCAATAATATATGGTTTTGTGGGTTAGTTTTGCCTAAACAAAGTTCTTCTGTGTCTTTTGATGCAAATTCTTCTAAACCACCGCACCAACCGCAACCCCTTTGCATTTGGTCAACCCATTTGTATTTTGTCAATGTCTTTAAAAAAAAAAATAATAATTATAGATTATTACGATAACTGACATACTTATCCTTTCACCATGACAGACGTGTTCCTCTTAAAATCGAATAAATGTTTGAAGAGTCAAAGATGTAACGTATTCGTGCTTTGGTAAAACTGGTAGTTAATTCATCTAGCTGGTAATTTAGAAAGAGATTCTCAATTATTCGAAAGGCATATTTTTTATTTATTTATAACAGCATATCTTATTTAAAAATCTAAACAATTATATTGACATAAGAAAACCCTATTTTTTCATAAAAGTTAATAATAAAACAATTACATTTATGAAATAAAACCACTTACCCAACACAGAAAAACCCATATGTAAATGGGTTGGTTGGGCTGATTTTTGTTGTAATGAGGCCCACATACATATTGGGCCGAGACGAAAAGTTTCAGGAGCAGAAGTCGGGTCGACCCGAGTTTATTATGGAGTATCCATCCCATCCCACGTCAGCTTGGCCGTCCATCCATCGAACTTGTCTTCGAGCGCAACCTGCAACATCGCATCTTCTCCCAACTTCTCTCGTTCTCTCTCTCTCTCTCCGATGGCAGGTGGTTTTGGAGGGAAGTCGTCGTCCGGAGGCCGCACCGGCATCAGAGTGGTGGTTGCCGGAGACAAAGGAACCGGGAAATCCAGCCTGATCTCCGCCCTCGCTTCCGACACATTCCCGGATAACGTCCCACGCGTGCTGCCCCCGACTACTCTCCCCGCCGACTTTTACTCCGACCTCATACCCATCACCATCATCGATACTCCTTCAAGGTTCGTTCGTGTCCCCGTGTGTTTCACCCTGTGTTTATGTCCGAGTTGCTTGAAGAGCAAGATCAGAACTGCCAAAGTGTGAACGCTAGAAATGTTGAGTTATTGCCTTGTCGGGAAATTTCTTCAATCCATGAGCGAATTGCTTGCGTGAATTCTTAATTTGGGTTCTTGTCGAATGATCGTAGTGTTCATTGGGTTGCGTTCTTACCGGATTGTAAATGGTTTTCTAAACAGATATAATACGCAGGGAATCCCTAGTTTGATGTACTGAGAGATGTTGTTTGTGAATAGTATCGACAATAGGATAAAGCTCATAGAAGAATTCAGGAAGGCAGATGCGGTGGTCCTGACATACGCATGTGATCAGCCTGGGACACTCGATCGCTTGACTTCTTATTGGCTCCCTGAGCTCCGCCGTTTAGAGGTTTCTGGTTCTTTCCTTTTCCTTTTTTTCGCCTGGATGATTTAGTGATAAGTTATGTGTATCTCTGTTTGTGATTGAATTCAGATCAAAGCACCAGTGATTGTGGTTGGTTGTAAGCTGGATTTGAGGGATGAACGTCATCCGGTAAGCCTGGAGCAGATAATGGCTCCGATCATGCAGGAGTACAGGGAGATTGAAACCTGTATAGAATGTTCTGCCCTTACCCTTATTCAGGTTCTTTTTCGATTTCTCAGCTCTGTTTCTTAAATGGTTTCTCAACACCATTGAGGTATTTTTATCGACTAATTTGTAAGCAAATCAATCTGCTTGTTACAATTAAGATTGGGAGGAAAAGGGAAAATAATTTCAGGAGATACATGGTTCAATAGCCTATCAAATGACATAATTCAAAGTCCAACGAGATCAAAAGGAGCATTTTCTTTTTCTACTTGTGTAAATTGGCTGCATGGATCTTTTTTGATTGAACTGTATCCGTGTTAATTATGTAATGTAGTGTAGTGTGGCATTAGAACATCATTTTTTTTTGCAGGTCCCTGATGTTTTCTATTATGCACAAAAAGCAGTCCTTCATCCGACTTCCCCATTGTTTGATCAAGAAAAACAATGTTTAAGACCCCGATGCCGCAGGGCATTGCAGAGGATATTCATCCTCTGTGACCATGATATGGACAGTGCCCTTAATGATGCAGAGTTAAATGAATTTCAGGTTTCTCTTCCTCTATTGGCAAATAATCGTCAGATCCATGGCAGTTCCTCGTCCTTTCTTAAGTATAATGTTGCAAAGATGGTTCACAGGTAAAGTGCTTTGGTGCTCCTCTTCAACCTGCTGAAATTGTGGGAGTTAAGAGAGTAGTACAAGAAAGGCAACCGGATGGAGTAAACGATCTTGGTCTTACTCTCCCGGGATTCTTTTTTCTTCACTCACTTTTCATTGAGAAAGGTCGACCTGAGACAACATGGGCTGTCCTACGGAAATTTGGTTACAATGATTATTTAGAACTCAAACATGAGTTCCTGCCGACTCCAGCAAAACATTCTCCTGATCAGGTGTGTATTGTCTTTAACAATATCTAACTACGAGAAGATGTTTGAATTATTCAATATTTGATATCGATATTCATTAAGATGCAAATGTGCAGAGCATTGAGCTGACAAGCGAAGCTGTGGTCTTTCTAAGTGGAATTTTTCGGTTGTATGACCTTGATAACGTGTGTATACATGGTTCTCCACTTACATAGCCTTGGTTCTTTTCTTCTTTATCACCTAAGAGCTTTAGTAGATCTTTAATGGTTTCTGTTTATGTTGTTATATAGGACGGTGCCTTACGGCCAGCTGAGCTAGATGACTTGTTTCAATGTTAAAGACAATACACACCGGATCAGGAGAATGTTGTGCTGGAATCGGCAGGAACTCATGTTTGAGTTCTAAATAATCATTGTAACCAAATTTCCGTAGGACAGCTGATATCGATATTCATTAAGATGCAAATGTGCAGAGCATTGAGCTGACAAGCGAAGCTGTGGTCTTTCTAAGTGGAATTTTTCGGTTGTATGACCTTGATAACGTGTGTATACACGGTTCTCCACTTACATAGCCTTGGTTCTTTTCTTCTTTATCACCTAAGAGCTTTAGTAGATCTTTAATGGTTTCTGTTTATGTTGTTATATAGGACGGTGCCTTACGGCCAGCTGAGCTAGATGACTTGTTTCAAACTGCTCCAGAAAGGTAATGCAACAATTAGATTCAGTATTCAGTTTGTTGTTAATTCTTTCCCGTGTACGTGTTGATTACCAGCTCCGCTTCAGATGTTTGTTTAGTGAGTTAAGTTAACCCTTTCTTTAGATTTTTCCTGATAATGCATTTGGTGTTCTTGCACGCAAATGTGTAAATTTCCTTCAAGTTGTCAGAGTAAGTACTTTACATGTCAATCTGCTTTTGTGATTCAGTCCTTGGCTTGAGGCTCCTTATAAGGATGCAGCAGTGAAAACGCCGGGTGGAAACTTGACAATTAATGGGTTCCTATCTGAGGTTTGTATGCCTCATGTTCCTTTTGGCACCTTTTTTCCTCAATCCAAAGCCAGGTTGTCTCTAGTAGTCTGAATCCGTGAACAAACAGTCGTGCTAGGTCCTCTGTCTTTAGGATGTGAAGCAGTATTGTCTGCATTGTCAACAGAGATGATCCAGATATAATCTAGTTGTCTTATAATAGAATGGTTGGATACATTGAATACGAAGCACACTTTCTGTGTAATCCTTGTCAACTATCACGTTTAATATTTTTGAAGCAGTACTAAATTTGCCTCTCTTATACAATTGGATGTAGTGGGCTCTAATGACTACACTTGATCCACGTCGAAGTTTAGCTAACCTGATATACATCGGATATGGTCGCGACCCAGCTTCAGCACTTTGCGTTACAAGGAAGAGATCAGTGGATCGTAAGAAGCAACACACAGATCGGACTGTTTTCCAATGCTTTGTATTTGGCCCTAAAAAATCTGGGAAGTCTGCTCTTCTTGATTCATTCTTAGGAAGGTAAAGGATCTGTGAGACTACCATATCTTCATCTTATTTTAAAGGTCTCCCATTTCATCCTGCTGTAGTCATAACCAGTAGCTGTTTCTGGTTTTTGGTGTTTCTTTCCTCTTGGTCGTATTACATTTTCAAAGTTTAATTTCATCTCCAGGAAATTTTCAGACAGCTATAACCCGACAACAGGTGAGCGGTATGCTGCAAACACTGTTGAGCAGCCTGGGGTATGTAGCAAAACTTTTGCTCTCTTTCTGTTGTCAGACAACGCTATTTTCTTGCCCAAGCCATTGCCTGTCAGGATGTTATTCTCCAATGGTGGTTCTGTGGATGATGTTGAGATGCTTAATTTTGGATGCAATTACAGGGTACTAAAAAGACTCTCATATTGCGTGAAATACCGGAAGACAGAGTTAAAGAGTTCCTAGCAAATAGAGAATCTTTGGCAGCATGTGATGTCGCTGTAATTGTGTATGACAGGTTAGCTTAGAAATTCTCTACACGTGTGTGTCCTTGTGTGTTGATGGCATGTTCATCAGCCAACCAGAAATTCACTACAAAAAATCATAGAAAACCGACTTGTAGATTGAATTTGCAGTTCAGATGAATACTCATGGAAAAAATCAAGGGATATATTGATGGAGGTAGCGAGAAGAGGTGAAGAGAGTGGTTATGGGACACCGTGTCTTCTTGTTGCAGCCAAAGATGATTTAGATCCATATCCATTGTCGGTGCGGGACTCAGATATGGTATCCACTACTTTACCTGGTTGCTTTTTCGGTTGATTCTTGCAGTGTTATGGCCCCTTTTCCCTCTTCTCAATATAATCATAGTTTGAATTAACTTGTTATGACAGGCTTGCCTGGAGTTGGGAATGGATGTCCCTATTTCGTTAAGCATGAAACTAGGGGATCCGAATAGTTTATTCTCTAGGATCGTGAGTACAGCAGAGAACCCTCATCTGAGCATTCCTGAGACGGAGTCTGGAAGAAGAAGCAAGCAAATCCGTCAAATTGTTAATAGCTCACTTATATTTGTCTCAGGTTCTTGCCCGTCTGTTTCTTCTTGATCAACATGTGCATCTTCCCTCCATCGGCATCTAAAATGTTTCTTCTAACTAAAAAATTGCAGTTGGTACGGCCATAGGAGTTGCTGGGTTAGCAGCTTACCGTGCGTATTCTGCCAGGAAGAATACTTGATAAAGGTGTTTTCTTCTTCCATGACTCCTGCCACTATGTTGGCTCCGTTTTGAAACAAGTATCCTTTGCTTCTATGGCAGAAGTGTGCCACTGCTTGCTAGACTGCTGCAGCTGGCTTTTTTTTTTTAAAATTATAAAAAAAAGTGGCATCCTTTTGCATTCAGTCTGCGGTAAAATGGGTATGCATTGCAACAGGTGCATAAATAAGGTTGGTTTGTTGAAAGTTTGGATTGAATCTTGGGAGGTCTTACGCGTCAACCTCGTGTATTTTTGTTTTTGGTTGTGATGGCAAACACATTGTATTGAACTTTGATGCTTGAATGTGAAGCTGCTCATGTCATATCATATGGGTATATGCTCACAGTAATCCATCCATTCATGCGGCTGCTCATTCTATCGGGATATTGAGGCTGGGGGGATGGGAAGAAACTTAGTGTAGTGTAGGGTATACATATATTTCTGTATGTAAAAGAATCTCAAAGGACCCTTTTGTCCATTCTGCAAAAGGAGAGTCCAACCGAAAATTGGGGCCAGAGGAGAAGAGGACAATGGAGAGGACTTTGTCCAGTAACGATAATAACTGCCATTAGAATAAAATTCAATAGCACCGTCACCTAATAACCGAATATACAAAACATATAAACGCAGTAAGATACTCCTTAATAGCTACATACAAGGACATGACACTCACTACCACCTTATCCATATATATTTTTCTTTCCCAAACAGACACGGAAATACAAATGCTGAATTGTTCCAAACATCGCCTCTCAGGCCCCATAACTTTTATCGTATCCCTCTTCCGAATCCCTAAGGAGACAAAGCCTAAGCCTACCTTCGTTTCTCTCCACGTGAAATCCAGAAATAGAAGACGAAACGCTCACTGCTTCAAGAACAAGTCGGCCGCCTTCTCTGCGTGGTTTCACTCTCACGCCATCTCCTGAACTTCTAATCGCCGGAGGAAAACGAGCTTCTACTCGGTTCGACCCTTTTCCCGTTAACGCTCTCTCTCCAGTCCTCCTTAAAGCTTCCTTCTTGGGGTGAGTTTTGGGCGTAAACAATGACATTTCCTCGGAGCTCCCCATCGGACAGTGGCCCGTCTCGCTCCCAAGACCTTCTGTGCACATCTCTAAGCTTCTCTTGCTGAGTTTCGCAGAGTTGGCGAGAGGGTGAACGTAAACAGCGTTTGTGTCAGTTTTGGAGATAATGGATTGGAGGAAACTCCAGCCGCCGTTTTCAGCGTTCTGCGTTTCAGCTTCTCCGTCATCAGTCGCAAACGCTTCTTGCTCCTCTGGATGAGGGTCCGAGGGTGAAGGTGATTTTTGGAGGCCTGAGAACCCCCATGGTGCCATTGCCACGAACCGGCCTGGCTCCGGGCACTGCTGCATACCTTGAACGACCACTGAAGATGACGCCATCTTCTTCTTCTTCTTTTTTAATCTTTGTTTTCTGGATTATCGAGAGAGCGAGCGAGAGGTCTTATAGAATGGGCTTTGAAAGCTGATGACAAAGCTGAGAGATCCGTGGACATGTATTTATAGGAGCCGCTTGCAAGGTTACGGGAAAACTCACGTAGTGTTTAGCTAATCACGTACTTTTTGTTCATAAAAAACAATGAAATCTGTTCATGCTTTTGAAAATAAACCACAAAAATGGAAATTTGATCTCTTCGAAAAGACACAAAAAAATAAATAAATGGAAAGGATGTACGAAGGAAATGGAAAATGCATGGAAGGAAATGTAAATGATATCAAGGAAATGGAAAAAAAATATATAGTAAATAAATTGGACAAAGAGGGTGGTACTAGGACGTACGTTTACGTAACAAATTAAAAGAAGAGGCATTTGATATGTTTTTTTTTTTTTGGGAAATCGGTTATTCTGGACCAAGATCTAGAATAATATCGGTTCGAATAAGCTGTGGTCTTTCTAAGTGGAATTTTTCGGTTGTATGACCTTGATAACGTGTGTATACATGGTTCTCCACTTACATAGCCTTGGTTCTTTTCTTCTTTATCACCTAAGAGCTTTAGTAGATCTTTAATGGTTTCTGTTTATGTTGTTATATAGGACGGTGCCTTACGGCCAGCTGAGCTAGATGACTTGTTTCAAACTGCTCCAGAAAGGTAATGCAACAATTAGATTCAGTATTCAGTTTGTTCTTAATTCTTTCCCGTGTACGTGTTGATTACCAGCTCCGCTTCAGATGTTTGTTTAGCGAGTTAAGTTAACCCTTTCTTTAGATTTTTCCTGACAATGCATTTGGTGTTCTTGCACGCAAATGTGTAAATTTCCTTCAAGTTGCCAGAGTAAGTACTTTACATATCCAATCTGCTTTTGTGATTCAGTCCTTGGCTTGAGGCTCCTTATAAGGATGCAGCAGTGAAAACGCCGGGTGGAAACTTGACAATTAATGGGTTCCTATCTGAGGTTTGTATGCCTCATGTTCCTTTTGGCACCTTTTTTCCTTAATCCAAAGCCAGGTTGCCTCTAGTAGTCTTCCATGTTTATCGCCTGTCTGAATTCGTGAACAAACAGTGGTTGCTATGCCCTCTGTCTTTAGGATGTGAAGGAGTATTGTCTGCATTGTCAACAGAGATGATCCAGATATAATCTAATCGTCTTATAACAGAATGGTTGGATACATTGAATACGAAGCACACTTTCTGTGTAATCCTTGTCAACTATCACGTTTAATATTCTTGAAGCAGTACTAAATTTGCCTCTCTTATACAATTGAATGCAGTGGGCTCTAATGACTACACTTGATCCACGTCGAAGTTTGGCTAACTTGATATACATCGGATATGGTCGCGACCCAGCTTCAGCACTTTGCGTTACAAGGAAGAGATCAGTGGATCGTAAGAAGCAACACACAGAACGGACTGTTTTCCAATGCTTTGTATTTGGCCCTAAAAAATCTGGGAAGTCTGCTCTTCTTGATTCATTCTTAGGAAGGTAAAGTATCTGTGAGACTACCATATCTTCATCTTATTTTAAAGGTCTCCCACTTCATCCTGCTGTAGTCATATTACATTTTCAAAGTTTAATTTCATCTCCAGGAAATTTTCGGACAGCTATAACCTGACAACAGGTGAGCGGTATGCTGCAAACACTGTTGAGCAGCCTGGGGTATGTAGCAAAACTTTTGTTCTCTTTCTGTTGTCAGACAACGTTATTTTCTTGCCCAAGCCGTTGCGTGTCAAGACTGGCAAATAATCACATGTTATTCTCCAATGGTGGTTCTGTAGATGATGTTGAGATGCTTAATTTTGGATGCAATTACAGGGTACTAAAAAGACTCTCATATTGCGTGAAATACCGGAAGACAGAGTTAAAGAGTTCCTAGCAAATAGAGAATCTTTGGCAGCATGTGATGTCGCTGTAATTGTGTATGACAGGTTAGCTTAGAAATTCTCTACACGTGTGTGTCCTTGTGTGTTGATGGCATGTTCATCAGCCAACCAGAAATTCACTACAAAAAATCATAGAAAACCGACTTGTAGATTGAATTTGCAGTTCAGATGAATACTCATGGAAAAAATCAAGGGATATATTGATGGAGGTAGCGAGAAGAGGTGAAGAGAGTGGTTATGGGACACCGTGTCTTCTTGTTGCAGCCAAAGATGATTTAGATCCATATCCATTGTCGGTGCGGGACTCAGATATGGTATCCACTACTTTACCTGGTTGCTTTGTCGGTTGGTTCTTGCAATGTTATGGCCCCTTTTCTCTCTTCTCAGTATAATCATAGTTTGAATTAACTTGTTATGACAGGCTTGCCTGGAGTTGGGAATGGATGTCCCTATTTCGTTAAGCATGAAACTAGGGGATCCGAATAGTTTATTCTCTAGGATCGTGAGTACAGCAGAGAACCCTCATCTGAGCATTCCTGAGACGGAGTCTGGAAGAAGAAGCAAGCAAATCCGTCAAATTGTTAATAGCTCACTTATATTTGTCTCAGGTTCTTGCCCGTCTGTTTCTTCTTGATCATCATGTGCATCTCCGCTCCATCGGCATCTAAAACGTTTCCTCTAACTAAAAAATTGCAGTTGGTACGGCCATAGGAGTTGCTGGGTTAGCAGCTTACCGTGCGTATTCTGCCAGGAAGAATACTTGATAAAGGTGTTTTCTTCTTCCATGACTCCGCCACTATGTTGGCTCCGTTATCTTTTGCTTCTATGGCAGAAGTGTGCCGCTGCTTGCTAGACTCCTGCAGCTGGCTTTTTTTTATAAAAAAAAGTGGCATCCTTTTGCATTCAGTCTGCGGTAAAATGGGTATGCATTGCAACAGGTGCATAAATAAGGTTGGTTTGTTGAAAGTTTGGATTGAATCTTGGGAGGTCTTACGCGTCAACCTCGTGTATTTTTGTTTTTGGTTGTGATGGCAAACACATTGTATTGAACTTTGATGCTTGAATGTGAAGCTGCTCATGTCATATCATATGGGTATATGCTCACAGTAATCCATCCATTCATGCGGCTGCTCATTCTATCGGGATATTGAGGCTGGGGGGATGGGAAGAAACTTAGTGTAGTGTAGGGTGTACATATATTTCTGTATGTAAAAGAATCTCAAAGGACCCTTTTGTCCATTCTGCAAAAGGAGAGTCCAACCGAAAATTGGGGCGAGAGGAGAAGAGGACAATGGAGAGGACTTTGTCCAGTAACGATAATAACTGCCATTAGAATAAAATTCAATAGCACCGTCACCTAATAACCGAATATACAAAACATATAAACGCAGTAAGATACTCCTTAATAGCTACATACAAGGACATGACACTCACCACCACCTTATCCATATATATTTTTTTTTTCCAAACAGACATGGAAATACAAACGCTGAATTGTTCCAAACATCGCCTCTCAGGCCCCATAACTTTTATCGTATCCCTCTTCCGAGTCTCTAAGGAGACAAAGCCTAAGCCTACCTTCGTTTCTCTCCACGTGAAATCCAGAAATAGAAGACGAAACGCTCACTGCTTCAAGAACAAGTCGACCGCCTTCTCTGCGTGGCTTCACTCTCACGCCATCTCCCGAACTTCTAATCGTGGGAGGAAAACGAGCTTCTACTCGGTTCGACCCTTTTCCCGTTAACGCTCTCTCTCCAGTCCTCCGCCTTAAAGCTTCCTTCTTGGGGTGAGTTTCGGGCGAAAACAATGACATTTCCTCGGAGCTCCCCATCGGACAGTGGCCCGTCTCGCTCCCAAGACCTTCTGTGCACATCTCTAAGCTTCTCTTGCTGAGTTTCGCAGAGTTGGCGAGAGGGTGAACGTAAACAGCGTTTGTGTCAGTTTTGGAGATAATGGATTGGAGGAAACTCCAGCCGCCGTTTTCAGCGTTCTGCGTTTCAGCTTCTCCGTCATCAGTCGCAAACGCTTCTTGCTCCTCTGGATGAGGGTCCGAGGGTGAAGGTGATTTTTGGAGGCCTGAGAACCCCCATGGTGCCATTGCCACGAACCGGCCTGGCTCCGGGCACTGCTGCATACCTTGAACGACCACTGAAGATGACGCCATCTTCTTCTTCTTCTTTTTTAATCTTTGTTTTCTGGATTATCGAGAGAGCGAGCGAGAGGTCTTATAGAATGGGCTTTGAAAGCTGATGACAAAGCTGAGAGATCCGTGGACATGTATTTATAGGAGCAGCTTGGAAGGTTACGGGAAAACTCACATAGTGTTTAGCTAATCACGTACTTTTTGTTCATAAAAAACAATGAAATCTGTTCATGCTTTTGAAAATAAACCACAAAAATGGAAATTTGATCTCTTCGAAAAGACACAAAAAAATAAATAAATGGAAAGGATGTACGAAGGAAATGGAAAATGCATGGAAGGAAATGTAAATGATATCAAGGAAATGGAAAAAAAATATATAGTAAATAAATTGGACAAAGAGGGTGGTACTAGGACGTACGTTTACGTAACAAATTAAAAGAAGAGGCATTTGATATGTTTTTTTTTTTTGGGAAATCGGTTATTCTGGACCAAGATCTAGAATAATATCGGTTCGAATTCGGGGCGGGACAGACGTTTTGCACCTTTGTTTTACCGGTTGAACTGTCCAAATTTGGGGAGTAGCATTTGATATTGGTAGGAATAACGGTTCAGGAAACTACGTACATTCGAAATTCGTTGCTTAAAAAAAAAACAAAAACTACATGGGAATACTCAGCCACGCACATAAATGGGAAAAGCCAAGTACACATAAAAGTACCTGTCCGATCCAAATGGGGTTTGGAGCTGTCTGTCTGTGTACAAGTGATCATCATCATTGGCTCTACCTATGCGTGTTTCTCCCTCTTCTTCTTCTTTTTTTATAAATAAAATAACGGTTGAAATATCTTATTATTTGAAAGCATACAGGGGTGGCCATTTCGGTTATTAACCGAATAACCGAGCCGAACCGAATCGAATAAGACATAATTGTACCTGAACCGAACCCGACATCAAAACCGAACGGTTATGATTTTCTTAAACCCAAAAAACCGAAACCGAAACCGAACCGAACCGAATAAAAAATAACCGAAAAAACCGAGAGAATAACCGACAATTTCTTTGGAAAATTAAACTTTTTACCAAAACCGAAGCGAACCCGAACCAAAAAATAACCGAACCGAACCGAAATTTATATAAAAACCGAATGGTTATAGTTTTTCTATAACCGAAATAACCGAACCCGAATATAACGGAACCGAACCCGAACCGAAACCCGAATTGGCCACCCTATATACAGGGACAAACAAAAGGCATGAAACATGATTATGTGTGGTTTACTTAAAAATGGGGGAAGAGGGCATATGACCCACACGTGCTCCACTCCTCATCAAACTACGTACTTTGCTTCATTATATTTTCTTAAACACAACACACTTTTACCTTGTGCCTCTTCCTTTGCCTTTCCACGACACATCCAAACGCGGAGGCTTTGTTTGGTCATTAAAAGGTGAACTCTGCATATAGACTTGTATTTGTACTGTTCCGACTTGGGGATAGGACCGATCTCTTACTCTTCTGTAGGCACAAAACTAGCAATGACAACATATTACAGGGAAGGGTTTTGTCTCGCCATTGATTTGCCGACATTGTTGTCCATAGGCTTTATTAATAGGTTTCTTACACATTTATGCAATCATAATCATCATCCCAGAACCGAACCCTAAGGTATTTGCCTCCTCTTTTACCATTGGTAATCACATAAAAATACCCAAACTTTTACAAAAATCCCAAATAAATACTCGAACTATACAATTGTCATATAAATACTTGAACTTTTCAAAACTCTCACATAAATACCCAAACTTTTAAATTTTTTCCAAATCAAACAAACGCAACTGCTGACTCAGCAGAAAACTGCTGACTCAGCAAAAAAACTGCTCACTCAGCAAAAAACCTGCTGACTCATCATTCAAAAATATTATTAAATATCCAAATATTCATCTACATGTATTTAAATTAATATATGCATATAAATTTACATATATATACAAATATATATATATATATATATATATATATATATATTAAAAATAAAA